AGACTGCTGATTCAACCAAACGGCACACACGGTCTAATGACTTAAAACCTCTCATTTCTTCATAAAGCTTGGGACTTTGCTTCTGCCCATGCTTGGGAGAGAGGCTGCACTTAGAATTCTCCAAAACAGTTGATTTGCTCTGGCCCATTTGCTAAGGAATGCCTGACGAAAGTGCACTGTCTGATTCAGACAGAGCGACTGCTGCAAAAATTGGCTTTGGAGTCTTCAGGGACTCCCGCAGTTGAACTGCGAAGACACCCTCATCAAGTACAGTGCTTCTAACACTTCTGGGTACTTTAAGCCTCTCCACTACTGCTGCTTCTCACAGGGGCTTTTTCGTGTTAAAGAACTCTCAAAGGAGACGAAGACTCCACCCCATGGAGTTTTACTACAGACCTCCCATACGCTTGTTCCTTCCTTGTGTCCCTTTTTTTTTTCCCTCTCCTCATCTTAATGGTAATGTAGTGGTATGAGGTTTTGCTTGCTGGAAAAGTTCCTTTCCTTTTCTTCAGCTCTTTTGGGGGGAGTATCTGGGTCCATGCTGTCATTAAAGGCAGTGTGGCATGGACATGGCTTCTAATGTTGGTGCTATCATTTATTAGCCGTGTGGTCACAGGAGAGTCATTATGCCTCTGTGTCCCTATCTCTCTACCTTTAAAAGAAAGGCATGGTCATCCCGAAGACTCATCTTTGAAAGCTTTGTAGCATCAGAAGGCAAGTAGGCCGTATGAAATGCCCTCTCCCTCACAGGAACGTTGACTTTTTATCCATTTGGATTCCCGGTGCTTTTTATGTCACTGGCATTGTCAGCGAGCAAGCAAATGCTTTACTGCTTCCTGTCTTCCACGGGACGGCACGTATTTCATAGCGGATGCACTCTGCCGTGTAGGCTTTTCTCCTGTTCCCATGCTTCTGCTTCTGAGTCACCCCCACCGCCATCTGCCCGTCTCCCCGTAAGACTGCAGCACCCAGCGCTCTGTCAGTTCTTCCGCTTCCCATTGATATTCCCTCGCCAAAGGAGGCTTGCTCAAAGAACGCTGCTGGGCAAATGGTATGATAGTTTTAGTAATTTGAAAACTTCCTGCACTGTGTGTTTGCCGTTATTGACAATGGTGTTCCAGGAGAATATATGGCTCTAGCAAGACTTTGGTCAATTTTTCCCTGCTTGTCAGGTGTCATCTGTGTACTAATGGAGTCATTGAGCGTGCTTTGTGTGCAGTACCTGATACCTTGTTGACTTAGAGGTCCTGCACAGGGACCTCTTTGTGGCGACGCCGCTACAGAACAAAGCACAGGTGTAGGACAAACACTGGGAAACTTCAGATGCTTTTTCCTCACCACAGGCCTCTTCGCCCATATTTTTCAAATTTTAAATTGCTACCTAAAGATTAGATTTTTTTTTTAAAGTAGAACTTGGAAACGTGCCTTCCAATCAATCATTCAGGGAGCGGCTCTCAGTAGGCAGTCTTCTACCTGCTGGAAGTTGAACATGCCACTTTGCAGGCCAGGTAGCTGTGGGAATAAACTTTGCAAGAGGATTGACTGAAGACAGCTTTTGGATCATCCACCCTTTCTTTGTCTCTTCTGGGTTTTGTTATTTTGTTTTGGTCTGTTGTTCCGTGTGAATACCTTCCATTGTGGGGAACTTGTGTTCAATTGGTTGTAAGAATGATGGCAGTGAAGATCAAATCAATTTTCCTGTTATTAACAAAAAGGCATAATGTCCAGAATGAAAAACAATAGAAAGAATAAGAAGGGAGGGGCAAAGGAGGAAGGAGGCACATTCTGCTTCCTGGCTGCTCTGTGGATACTGAGATCACAGGGCCTGGAAGAGTTGTGTTCTATATCTCTCTAGTTTCAAAACCTCCACATCTCCCATAATCCCCTTTTCTCTTGGGTCTTCTCTGGCAAATAAATGCCACATAATTCATTTCTCTCTCTAGGAACTGATAGGTGTTTTCTCTTGCTGTGCGCTTCGGGTCCTCTCTGCTGAGAGATGCTCAGGAGATGTGCACTTTATTATTGACAATAGAAGTCAATACAGAAGTCAGGCAGTGACACAGCTTTAATCCCAGCACTCGGGAGGCAGAGGCAGGTGGATCTCTGAGTTAGAGGTCAGCTGGTTTACAGAGCTAATTCTAGGACAGTCAAGGCTACACAAAAAAATCCTGCCTTGAAAAGGCAAATTTTATACACACACACACACACACACACACACACACACAACAAGAAAACCTACAACAAAGCAAACACAAGCAAGATGTGGTGGCACATATCTGTAATCCCTCCCAGTACTCAGGACTCTGAGGCAGGAGGATCACACGTTTGAGGCAAGCCTGAACTAGGTGTAAGACTGTCTTAAAATAAAACAAAATAGGACAAACAAAAAGCAAATGCAGATTCTTCTACTGCCTGGGATTCAGAAGTGGCATTTTTTTTGCTGGTTGTCTGATTAGTGCATTTCAGGAGGTGTAAGGCGATAGCCACACCCAACAGGCACAGAAGGAAACCATTCTGTTGCGCTGTAAATCTGAGTCACCAGAGATGAATCTACCACTGAAAATCTTTGTAAAAATCCCACTGCTGTTTTAGTTTATTTTTCAAATGTTTAAACTTTTATTGATTTTAATAAATAAGAGTGTTTGCCTGCATGTGTATCTGGGCACCACATGCCTGGTACCCAAAGAGGCCAGAAGGGGGCATCACTCCCCTGGGACTGGAGTTACTAACAGTTGTGATTTGTCATTTGGCTACTGGGAATTGAACCTGGGTCCTCTCGGCGAGTAGCCAGTGCTCTTAAGCATACAGCTAACTCTCCAGCCTCATTTCAATTGATTGTTAGAGGGAAAAGATACAAGCAGATTTGTCTTAGTTGTGTTACTCTGTGTAGATCAACACATATGAAACAATGAGAAACCATTATCATCCATCAGGGAACAGTTGTGGATGCAATGGAGGAACTGTAAGAATTGATCAATAAGTACTTATTGAGAGTCTACTGTGTTCTCAACTATACAGGATAGATCAGACGTAGGTCCTACCCTTGAGTGAGTTATGGTCGGTTTGGCATGAAACAGCAGAACTGACATTGTGTTTTGCAATATAATGACATTGACATAGTCAACCGTGGAACACAGATGTCCTGGAAACTTAAAAGAAACTTCCTTGACGAGTAGAAGAAAGGGAATGTTGAGGCTTGAGCTGGAAGAAAACCACGAGTAGGAAGGAAGCAAAGGTCACATCCAAGCACAGGCATTTTACATCACAAGATGAAAACAAACTGAACCAGAAGTAAGAATCAGAGCTAAAAAAGCCAAGTGGGGTGAGTACCTGGGGGACATGGAGTCTGGAGAGTTCTCTGTTCAAACTGTAGCCTACAGGAAGTCAATGGCAGTATTTACAAGGAGGCGGTACACTGAAAGCAAGCAGTGTTTCAGAAGGGCTAGCAGCCACATTTTAGATTGGTAAGGGGGAAGAATGTGAAGGCAGGAATACAAGCAAAGAGAAACCACTGGAACAAGCCAAAGGCAGGCACTCGGGGGTTGAACTATAAATGTGACAGAGAGAATAGAAATGAATACAACAGAAATGGCTAAGGAGAATCTGTTGAATATAGGAAGGGATGGGAAAGAGAAGGCTGTGTCTAGCACTCTGAAGTTTATGTATGTCTTTAAAAGGCTGGGAAACTGCCGGAGAAGAAGATGAATGTGCCTTTATTCCTATTGAGTTTGAGGTGACAATGGACAGCTAATGAGGGTATTCAGCAGGCAGCAGGAAATGGAAAAGCCTGAGCAGAGGCTCTTTACTCTTAGAGAAGGATGACTCTCTCAGAGGTGTCAAGGTGGGGTTGAGAAAGCACACATCTGAGGAATGAAGTAGATGACGTCATCAAGTGGATGGTACTGAAGAAAGATGCTATGGAATAGCCATGAAAAGTTCCATGGACCTAACCATGACTAGGACCCAACTAAGGGACAGAAAGTGAACTAGGGGCGGTATACAGAGTGCTATGACTTCCTCCAGCCACACCTTGCCTTCCCAGGGTTGGACAGAGGCCCGAGGAATAGAATGACACCATCTGGCGAGGAAGACAGGGGAATCAGCAGCAGATGCATGGGCCCCAGGAGAGGGCAGGCTCTAGTGTATGGGGTGTGGGAGGGTGGAAGGAGCCAATGCTGTCCATGAAGATTGGAGTATGCTAGAAGGTACCCTTCCACAGAAATGGACACATGCTACTGTATTCCAGGACAAATGTCTCTGGGTGGAAGTATCTCTCGAATATTGATTCACTTTGACTCCCTGCTTCTGGCGAGTGAAGTCCCATCTCCCACTCTGTAGGCTCTGACTAATAGAGGTTTCCAGCGAGGCTGTTGGTAGGGGAAGCAGATTTTGCTCACTGGAACTTGATGCAATCCTGCTTGCCCTCAAAGTTTCTGATTCACTTCAGAGATGGTTTTATATCATTTAAATGCCAACTGTAGCAAAATAGCCCACCCGTTAGTCCCCCATTATCCAGGCCTGGCATCTACAGGTCCGCTTAGAAGGGCTCTACCCTTGTAGAGGTGGTAGTGTGGTGCCTTTGACCTGAGGGAAAGATGGGTGTTAGAGCAGTAGACAGGATGACAGAGGTCCGCTAGAACAACAGTAGCTAAGTGTCTTCAGAGAAGTAAACCCAGGTCATCTCTGCCCTTCTCCTCCTCAGTTGGGAATCATGGAGACAAAGACTGAGGCAGGCATACATGTATGCACAGATATACAATGAGCAACATAAAACATACACACACACACACACACACACACACACACACATACACACGCACACACGCACAAGGCTAACGGCAGACACACATCTAGACATTTGGACCCATATTCAGGCACTCAGGGGCCCAATTGCTCAGATGCACATCTGCACATCTCCTTCCTCCCCCTAGCATCCAGGTGTGAGCTGAGGCTGTCCCCTCTCTTCCGGGCCTCACGCCTTCCCCTTTGTGTTTCTCCAGGTCGTGATATGGCGAGCACCACTCTACCTGGTTACCCCCCTCATGTGCCCCCCACTGGCCAGGGGAGCTATCCTACCTCCACCCTGGCAGGAATGGTGCCTGGTAGGTGACAATACTGGAGATGTCTGATCTAAATTGTGGGTGAGCTGCTAAATGGTCTGTAGTCTAAGGCTGGGAGTGGGAGGAGAGCCAACAAGCCACTGTCTGCAAACCATTGTCCTTCATCCCTCCTCCTCAGAAGCCACAGTCTGCCCTTTAGAAGTAACGCCAGGAGGAAACTTTCAGAAGTGTCCCTTGTGTACAGAGCTGTAGGTTATGGCCCCTCCTCAGCACCCAACCATCCAAGCCTATGCCCCAATGCTCCAGCCCACCCCAGCTAGCTGACACTGCTTGGAAGAGCCTGCCCTGGTTTCCATGGAAACTTGGAACCAAAGACCATTTTCAGGGGCATGGCAGTCATTCAGACAAAGCCACAGTGGTCCACACCAAGCCAGAGGAGGAAAGCACTATAGAGAACCAACCCCAGTTCAGAGAGAGAAGGAAGCTAGTCTCAAAGTGGAGTGGAGGACAGGAGGGAAACAGAGAGACCCCAACTCCAGAGAGAAATGAGCTAGAACACCTTTACCCTTCTTCAGAGGACGCGGGCCCTCTAGGCTCCTCTGGGACTCCAGTGCACCCTTTTCGCTGAGAGGCCTTGTACTTGGGTTTGGAATTAAGGAGTCAAGAGACTGTATTTAAAGCCTGGTGGTTGCTATCTCTACCACCCATCCCAAATGGGTGTGGTTTAAAGTCAAAGAAACACCAAAAATCTCTTGTCTTAAAATGACCAAGACTTTCCCAGCCTGTAACCGACTGCCTCTGGAGTCTTTTGTGTGCCCAGTTCCTGAAGTTCAACTCTCACTGGAAGGGGGAGAAGGAGAGGCTAGAAAGGGCGATTGGCCTCACCCCTCAAGGATCAGCCCTGAGTAAGCAGAGGTGGGTGGAGAAAACTAGGAATAGTGACTGGAAGAAGCTGGAGGTGTGGATGAAGGGAATCTGCTCTGCCCAGGCAGGTAGAAGCCTTGGTAGGGGGCAAGGAGAGGCTTTGGAGGTAGATCAGTGTGCAGGTGGAGGCTGGAGGAGGTCTTAGGGAGGTGGGGGGGGTGAGGAAAGAGTGGGAAGGTGGGGGTGGGGAGTCTGCAGGGAGGTGGGGATGAGGGGAGCCGCAGAGAGCTCATGGTGGCAAGGGGGGAGTCGTTAAACAGAATCTAGTGCTGATGAGGAAATTACACTTGTTTCATTAGCGATGGGGAAGGAGATAGCTCAGTTCCTCTTGGTCACAGTTGAGCTCAGAAGCTCATTATCCTGCTGCACGCATGCTTTCCCTCCTCGTCAATAAACAGGCTTTCCAGTGACTGCATCCCCCACCCCCACCCAGCTCCTTCTTGGAGTGCGGCCCCTTCTCCTCTACTTAACCCGCGGTTAGGGATCACTGTAAACAGTCTGGGGTCATCACACAGGAGAAAGGGCGAGGGGGAAACCCATAGGCCTGGCCTTTCTCCTCCTGAATGGAGGGAGGCAGCGCTCGAAGGCGCTCAACCCACAGAGCCCTCCACTGGGCCTGCGGGCTGTCCACTTGGTTCCTGCAAGTCTCCTCCTCCATTTGCGTGGCGCTCATTGTGGACCTCAGGAGGAAACAGTGGAAGGGGTTATTTCCCAGGAGAACAGCACCATCGCCACCTGCCTAGTTTTGGCACAGCGCTGAGATACCATTCTTAGGACTTTCTGGGACAAAGTGTCTCAAGGGACTTCCTTCACCACCCTCCCCCTCTTTAATCCTGTGGAGTTCCTAAAACAAGTGTCCACTATAAAAGTTCTCGGGCTCCCGAGTTACTTAAGTGGGCACAACCAGACCAGGCCAAACCCCTTCTGAGTAGCCAGAAGTGCTTCGCGGGGGAGCCCAGGCACAAACCTGCCCGCAGATCCCTCCATGCCTAGCTGCGCGGAGATATGGGTACTTCTTGCCTTTGGTGGCTGTCCCCACGCGGAGAGCGTGGAATGCCTCACCTCTACCCTGCCCCCACGGACCCTTGTTCTGCTTGCAACACCTGAGACTGGGACTAGCGGGGAGGGCAGAAGAGACCAACCGGGCACACTGAGCACATCTAATTCCAGTTCCCCACCTCCCACAGGGAGCGAGTTCTCAGGCAACCCCTACAGCCATCCCCAGTACACCGCCTACAACGAGGCTTGGAGATTCAGCAACCCTGCCTTACTAAGTGAGTACGCCACCTGGCTGGCGGGTGGCTCAGCGACTGGCCTGCTCGCCCGCCCGGTCGGGCGCGCAGGCTGCTTCGGGACACGGATCCCACTCTAGACCACCCTAACTCTGGGTACCCGGATGGGCCAGGGAGACAGACTCATTGTAGCAACGCTGGGGCCTGAGGACTCCTCGGGGGCGCCGGTGCCTCCTGCCTCTTTCCCCCTCCCGTCTCTCGGTCACTGGAAGGCTCTTGGCCGCAGGGGCCGGTAGGACCCCTTGGCTTGTTGCCGCCTGGTGCCACCTGTCCTGTCCCTCTCCCGCCCTGAGAACGCAGCACTCTTCCTGGGGATCTGGCCTCAGGGCGGTCACATTCCTCCAGTCCTGATCCTGCCGGACCCGGGGAGGGCTTTTCTTTGCTTTTCTTTCCTTTTTTGTTCTCCTGTTTGTCCTCTCACCCAGCCCATTCTTCTCCTGTGTTAACTTCCAGGTTCCCCTTATTATTATAGTGCCGCCCCCCGGGGCTCCGCCCCTGCCGCTGCTGCCGCTGCCTATGACCGCCACTAGTTACCGCGGGGACCACATCAAGCTTCAGGCAGACAGCTTCGGCCTCCACATCGTCCCAGTCTGACCGCCCACCCCAGAGGGAGGGAGGACCGAAGCTACGAGCTGCCACTCGGCCACCGTCCCAGTCCCACCCCTCCACCTCGAGACACCCTCTCCCCCTCCCCCGCAGTCCTTCACACCACCCTGTCGATGGCCTGACAGCACCGGTGGAGCGGCGGGTGGGACCCTCAGGCCCCGGCTCATCGCCAGCCCCGCCCGCCACCCCTCCCTGCCTGCCTGGACCACCGCGCCGCCCGGAAGGTCTCCCGCCTCTGGCCCGCGCGTCCAGCAAGTTTCTGTGACACACAATCAGCGTGGCCCACCCGGGGGCAGCCCGCTTCTGACGCCCGGGCGCCGGGAGGCTTCGCTGCAGAAGCTGAGCTAGGGAAACTAAGGAAAGGACTTTGTGCTAAAGGAGGAGCCGTGGTCGGAACCCCTGGGGAAACTCCTGCCCCGCCCCACCCCCTGTGCCTGCCAGGCTGACCCCGCCTTCTGTCTGCGTCCAGCCGCTGACAGTGGTACCCGGACGCGAGGATCGGACACGAGGGACAGCGTTAGGGACGTCAGAGTTTACCAAGGCTGGTACCCAAGGCGAGCAGACGCCAACTGAGCTCGTCCACCCGGACTGCCTAGTTCCCCAGGGCGTGGGATCTCCTGCAGTGACTCTACTCTCGCCCCGCCTTGCCCCTACCTCAGAGCCTCTTCCATCTGCTGGCCTCTGACTTTCCCCTCCTGCGCGTTTTCATCCCAGGACACCTTGCACGCAGCCCCATCGGGGCCACCGCGGGAATAGTTTCCTCCGACTGCGGCTGCCAGCACTGGTCTTCCCCAGCAGTAACTTGCTGCCCCCCACCCCAAACTCCCAACCTGCGGGCGGTAGGAGCCAGGAGGGAACTGACGACCGAGCTGCCCGGGAGATGGAAACCGTGGGCTGCTTGTCCCACTACATCCACCCTCAGCCGAACAGAGCCCCTAAAGTCTACACTTATTTAATATGATGGTCTTTGCATAAACGAACAAAACAAAAACCCAAAAGGCTGCTTTGTAGAAGGTGTGTGTGGTGTGGAGGCGAACCTCTCTCTGTACATAGCCCCTCCCTCTCAGCCCCGCCCACCCGCCGGGTACCGTAGAGTCCTTGTCCCCTGCCCGCCCTGCCTGTAGATACACCTGCTGTCCGTGCTGTGAGGGTCGCCGCTCGCTGGGGGGAGGGGGGACACAGCTACATGCCCACTCAAGCACAGCACGTCCTGGGGGAGGGGGCATTTTTTTACTTTACAAAAAAAAATTATGAAAGAAATCTCTATGCAAAATGACGAACATGGTCCGGTGGACACCTCTCGCCTCTGTTTTGTTGGCTGTTTCTCTGTAATTCCGTGTTTTCCGCTCTCACCTCCCTGCATCTCTCCCTCTTCATCTCCCCTTTCTCTGCTGCTCTCCCCTTCTGTGTCTCTTTCTCTGCCTCACTTGTCTCTGTCTCGGCCCCGGCCCTCCTGCCCCAGGCCTCCAAGGCTACATTAAAAGTGGCAGAGCCAGCCTCCGGGCTAGCCCCTTGTGGCCTTGCCAACGTGCTCTGGCCAGGCCGCCCTGTCCCTCCCCGCCCTGTAGTTGCTCTCTCTCGGTAGCGGCGATGCTCCCTGCATGTCTCCTCAACCGTGGATCGTGACGACTCGAAATAACAGAAACAAAGTCAATAAAAGTGAAAAAAATAAATAAGTAAATAAATAAAAATCCTTGAACAAATCCGAAAAGGCTTGGAGTCCTAGCCCAGATCTCTCTTCCCTTCGAGCCTTTTTATTTGAAAAGGAAAGTGAGAAAAGAGAACAGTTTAAGGGCACTGCCGGCGCCTGGTGCGGGGCCCAGTAGCGGAGCCCTAGGTCCCAGCTCCCAGCTTCGAGGCCAGGCTTGATCCCAGTCTTGTGTCTGGCTGGCGGCCGCTCAAGGAGCGCGGGATCCAGGATCAGGCCTAGCTTTCGAAAGGTCTTCCACAGTTCTGGTCTCCTCCGCCACTTTCAACGTGTCGGTTCGTTTTAATTATTTTTGTTTTCTTTCTTCCTTCCTTTCTTCCTTTTTTTGTGCACATGATAAATAATAATAATAAATAATAATAATAAAATTTTGTATGTCACTCCCCATGGCTCCAGGTTTGTCTCTCCCTGACCCTCAAGAATTCTGTCAAGGATTCAACTCCACTCCCAGTGCGAATTCCTCTAAATCCTTGACCAAGACTCCCCTGGACTGCAGCTGAACCCTGATGATGGCCTGGAGAAGTCTGTTCCTCACCACCCCGCCCCCCCAAACACACACACACACACACACACACACACACAGAGAGAGAGAGAGAGAGAGAGAGAGAGAGAGAGAGAGAGAGAGAAAGAGAGGAGTTTTGGCTTTCTGGAACTTCAGAGTAACTTTGACATTACCCTTCTCTAACAAGTCAGCCTTGCCTTATTGCCAGTGTCCTGCAACCACACCTAGGGGTGCAGGTTCCCAGAATGAGCAACATCTAGGGCTCTCTCTTGGTGGATAGGGGTAGCCTGGGGTCCTGTCTTTCTCTCCCCTCCCCCAGTGGATTTAGCTGCCCATTGGTACAGCTGCAATTTTGTGCTGTGTCCCCTAAGACACCACACAGGCCGCAGACCCTGACTCCAAGTTTCTCTTTTCAGCTTTTATTTCTAGACCCTAAGAACTGGCTCATGGGACCTCTTGGACCACGTGGGTGTTGCAAAGTCCCACCTAGGACCTGTCAAGCAGCAGCTGAAACTAGCGGCTCAGGCTGAGGCCTGAGAACCTGGAGAGGAAAAGCTTAAGTGCCCTAGGCAAAAGGAGAATGTGGGGGGGGGGTCAGTTGCTTCCTGCATGAAAGGAGACGTTTGTTGTCCTGTGTGGTGCCCTAGAGGGGTCTGGAAGCGAAGAGGAAGGAATAGTGTTGGTCTTTTTAAACACATTCGCCCTCAGGTGAGAGGGAAGATCTGTCTCTGTCCTTCTGTTTGTCTGTTCCTGTTTAGAGAAGGGATGCCTTGATTGTCCACTCCTGCCCTGCTGTATCAGAGAAACTTAGAAATGTCTCCTGTCCATCTCTTCAGCATCCTGTCAACTCTAGACCTTTCCTTATTGCCAACACAGACTTGTGGTACCAGCTCTTATCTGTGCTCCACCCGGAGAGACTTCCTTTCTCAACTCTAGGAAGCGTCCATAGTTCAACTTCCTTCTCAACCGCCACCCACTTGAAAGCCTCTAATCTTCCTGATTGACTGTAGAGCTGCAAGTAGGATCTGGAAGCAGACTAACAAGTGACCTTCCCCGCTTGGCTGGGGCAGTGCCTTCCAGACAGTTCCTTCCCACCAACATGCTAGAGACCTTTTCCTAAAGCAATTTACCCAGGCTTATTCATATCACGCCACCAGGGGGATACAAAGAACCCCCAAAACATAACAGCAAACCACCAGCATCTTCCCTCTCCCTTCTCACGTGTGTCTACCTATTCTCCTGCCCAGGAACTGGCAATCCCACCTCACCCTGCGGGTGATTCCGCTCCTGGCCTCCAGTCTCCAGAAAGACACTCTTTAATCTCTTTGGCCATACTAAGGCATCTGTAAAAGAATTCTGGAAGTTCTGTCCAGTCTAAGTAAATCTACACGTCCCATGAAGATATTAGTATATTATGAATGAAGTAGGAAAACAGAGAAACGGAAGTCCTAAGACTTTTTCTCGATCTTCAGCAGGGGCTACACTGTTTACAGTGACTGTTTCCAGGTGGAAATCTCACAGTGTGTCCTCCCTGGAGTGTTTGGTTTCATATTAGAATCCGCCTGGGATCCCCCAAACCTGCTCTGGAGTCTCTGCCAGCTGCCTAGTCTAACTGTAGACACCCTACACGCACCCAGACACCAAGAGAATCTGGTCTCCCAGCTTCAATTTGCTGCCCCCAAATTCTGTCTGCTATCCTTGCCCCACCTCATTGACACAGATTCCCAAGTGATGTAACCAAATATAACAGCTTAATAGAGGAGGAAAATGTGCCCCAGCTTGGGCAAACAGTTGGGAACAAAGATATGAAACTATACTAAAGCGACTAGAGTGTCAGGTACTTGGGGAAGAACAAGGAGAGAAAATGTCAGACGGAGCTTAAAAGGGTTTAGTTAGTAGCCGGGACACTGGTGAGAATGTTGACAATGTCAGAATGGTACCTGCCACTTAAGAAAAGCTGTATCCCCCAAAGCACATCCTGCCCATGCACACAGCATATCGTGCTGAGTTCACACTGAGTCAGTGTTCCTTCCTTTCTCACAAAGCAGAGGTAGGTAGTATGGAGGAATTAAGGCTGTTCCTCAGGAGAGGCAAAGTCCCATGAAGACCCTGAGGGGATTCCCTAATTCTCACTGGGTCAGCAAAGTTAGCTCCATTCGATCCTCAAGGCTAAAGCTCACATCTTCCCAGTCTCCTACCTTTCTCATGGACTCGCACGTCAACCTGGTCCATCAGCAAAATCAGTCTCCATTAAAAATAGGCTCAGAATGTGCCTACTTCCTGCTCCCTGCTCTACCATACTGTTCAAGCCACTTAACTTGTAAAGAAATACAAAAGAGAGAAAGCGGGAGGGGAGAAGAGAAGGAAAAAGCCCTAGTTGGTCTTCCTGCTTCCATCTTCTCCTCCCATAGCAACCAGAATGAGTCTCCCAGCTACACTCAGATCACGTTCCCAGCTGTTCAAAGCCCTCAGCTGGTTCTCCACTTCAATCAGAGTGAATCCTGACTGACTCCGAGGCTCTCCACTCTCTGGCTATTGGCCCACGCTCCACCCTCACAATCACTTCACCTCACCTGTTAATTGCTCTCAGTTCACGGTTCTCTCTGCTGACCTCTGGGCTATGCCATGGTCACAGCAAACATGTACTTCCTATGTCCAAAGGACACGTGTACACTTGATTGCCTGGAAAATCCTTCCACTAGATAGCTCCCTGACTGACTCTCTCACTTTCAACCACCTTAAATAAAGTAGCACACAGACACTGGTGATGTGTCTTAGTGGTGGAGTGCTTGCCTACTACATAGAAGACTGAGGATTTAATCCTGCAGCACTGGAATAAATAAAGAAATAAGCAAACTGCACAACCGTTCGCCATTCGCTCCCCTGCTTTCTCATACTGTTTTAGCAGTACCTGGAAGGATGTGCTTTTGTTTGTTTTAGAGGCAGGGTCTCTCTCTATATCCCCAACTGGCTTTAAATTCTCTCTGTAGACTAGATTGGCCTGAAACTCACAGAGGTTCTCCTACCTCTATCTCCTGAGTGCTGAGATTAAAGGTGTGTACCACCGCACCCAAACAGGTTACAGTATATTTTTCTTTCTCTATCATCTGCCAATGGGGCATGAACAGGCATAAGGGCAGCTTTGTGTTTGTTGTGTGACCACTGTATGTTGGGATGTCAAGAACAGCGTTCGGCACACAATATCTGTTCAACAAACACGGCAGACAAACACGAAGGAGGTGAGCAAACAGGAGGCTGGAGGCAGGGACAGGCGCAAGGAGCAGAGGTAAGAGAAGGAGGAGTGGCCACAGAGGGGATAGCTGAGTCGCTAGAAGTTTCCAGAGACGGCTGCTGCTCCTGGTCCTTCCACAGACCAATGGCTTGAGATTTATAAGCCCCATGCTTCTCAAGTAACTGTTCCCCACAACTCAAAGCTCCAATCAGTTCCTAGGAGGGCCACAGGAGGTGCACCCCTCCTTCCACAGAAGACTAGCCATGTAACATCCTGTGAAGTTCTTATGGTACTGACAGAGTGCCACATCAGCTCCTGACCACAGCCTGGGACCTCATTTGATAATGAAGACCCTGTGTCTCTGGCTGCAGGGCACAGACCTCAAGTTAGAAGGAGTAGTTTTCTCCCTTAATTCCAGTATTCAAGAGGCAGAGGTAGGCAGATCTCTGAGACTGCGGCCAGCCTGGTCTATATAGTGAGTTTCAGGACAGTGAGGGCTACACAGAGAAACTCCGTCTCAAAATTAAGAAAGAAGAAAGGAAGGAAAAAATGACAGAAGGAAGGAAGGGAGGGAGGGTAGTTTTTTTCTCTCAGCATCTCAGCAGGACTGTTACTGGCTCCTGAAGGAGCAAGGATCTCCACCTGGATTGTGGGCTGAAATGTTGAGGGCCCAGGAGTCATAAGGACCCCCTCTGATGTGTTACTGTGCAGAGTGCCTGCCCGTAAGTGAGGCCCACTCAATCAACCAGAGATTAGCACAGTTGAGCGGAGAGCACCAGAGAGCCCTGGCAGTGATAATTAAGCCTCTGGATCCAGACAGATCTGAAATAAGGCCTGTTTTATAGCTTCCAGGGTCAGAAGCCAATACAGCTTCCATCTGGGGGCTTAAACAAATATATTTTGGGTGTTGTTTGCAACCATGAAGCTCTGGACACGAAACCCTGTTAAAGGTTTTAGATATTGTTTATAGGCAAAAGAGAATAGCTTTGTGTGTCTGTTATTTGAAAGACGGATCTGCCAATAACACGGACTGGGACATAAGGAGAGCCCATGAGTGGAGGAAGAGTGTGTGTGCCCATAACTCAGTGCAGGGAAGCCAGAATAGAGGGAACCAGCTGAACCATTAGCTGAGCTCCGGAAGGAAGCAGAGATGGAGATGTAAGCCTATTCGTAGTATGACTTGCTTATTTTTATTTTTATGTGTGGGTGTCTGCATGCATATATGTACACTACATGCCAGCCTCGGAGGCACTGGATCTCCTGGAGTTACAGGCAGTTGTCAGCGGCCAGATGTGTGCGCTGGGAACTGAACCAGGGTCCTCTGTGAGAAAAGCAAGTGCTCTTAACCATCTCTCCAGACACTGACAAGGCTAGATTTTTGAATAAAACAAAATAGAGAGAACATTGTATGAGGAGATAAAAGGCAAGAAATTGTCACGTTTGCTTATAAATGAAAGCCCAATATCGATCTAATGCAAGCCTGTGTCTCTGAAAACAGAGCAGTGTGGGGGAGGACAAAGCAAGAGGGAGATCTGAGTATACTTCTTCAAGTCTAGTTTTGACTTTATTATAAATAAAAAGTAAGTAGACAACCAGATCCTTGACGCATAGAAGCGTAATTGTCTCATGAAGAAATCAAATGTGGTTCTT